ATACGGACATTGATTGACATAAATATCAATTTTACGAAACATACTATACTTCGAGAAATTAATTTTTGTGCGAATATATGCAACCTTGACATCGTTATAATAATGAGGGCAGGCTCTGTCTGTTAAAGAGTTTAACAGATTAAGGTTCAGTACCTCGTAACGACATCTAAGAAGGGTTTGTAGAGGACTGCCTCAAAATGAAGACCTCATAAAACTCAATAAACTGTAGATCTAGAGGAATCAACTGTCTATTCCTGGGGGGAATCACCTATTCACTAAACGCTATCGCACAAAATGAGCGTAAGTTTGCTATGGAAACTATCATTTGAATTGAAAGTCTCCAAGGCAACGCATTCTTATAAGATCCATTAGAATCCTCTTGATCTTCGTGTATGAAATAAAGTTTGACAAAGTTCAATTATAGAAGTGCTTTGACCTAGTTATCTTAACTTGGTCGAATTGTCATTAGGACCTAGATGAAGCACCTTGTATACGGCGCCGTGACAGTGATTATGATAATTTTCGCATTACCAGACGTTGCGCCGACATCGTAGTCTGTATCGTCATGGCGTCTTGCTAGCCTTAGCACGAAGAATTTTTTAAATCCAGCTGTAATTAGCACATTTTTCGGCAATTTTATTGCACAGTTTCACCTAAGGTATGAAAATCAAGATTGTGTGGCATTTATTTTGGTGTCAGTATTCTTTCGCTGTCTAGAATTGGTGGGAGTACTGGTAGGGCTCAATGAGGATATCGTAAACACGTTTATGAATGTACCAAGTCCACTGTTCGAAGCTGAAAATTGTCATAATCGCTATGGCAACAGACTCCATTGTTAGGTGATTTCCGCCAGGCCGCCTTGACAACACGATCACGTTTCATAAATGAGTCCAAACCATTTTTAGCTACGAAGCATAGCTGGGTTTCGATGAATCTGCTCTGACAACAGTGTTGGGAAGACTTTCATTTCATATAAAAGTTAAGCGGTAGCAGTACAACGGGAATCAGCCGTCGTCTTCTGGTGAGATTGACCTACGAATCTTTTCTTAATGCACTTTTATACGAAATTGAAGTCTCCTCTACCTGAAATATTTTTATACAACGAAAGGAGATGGCAACCAAAATCTTGGTTTTATACTCTCGATTAAATTATGTTGGTGCATATCATAATTTCATAATTATATCTTTAATTTATGTAATTCTTCTAGAATGTGAAATTTATTCACCCCATTTCGTTGGAGTGAGAAAATCTAATGGCCAGTCTTTCATCACCTTAAAAAAATCAAGTGAATCTTTTGTTTGAATATAATGTATTAGTAGTCTCGACGAAACCAACTGATTAATGAAAATGCTTCTAGACTATCTCTGCTCGGTTGCCAAACAGCAAAGCAGTCATCCATCTACCCAACTAAACGAATCTCTGATAGCTAAAATTGGGACACGGATGGACTGAGGTTGCAGTTCTTTTCCTCACAAACCAACCGTTACAGGTGCTATCCAATCCCCCAAAGATTTGCAATGAGGCCCATCTCAGATTCCTTCGAAACAAAAAATCCATTTACGTCACCTTATTTTTAGACAATTTCAACCTAAACTATGCCTTACGTAGAGCTAAATTATTACAGACTGCGGAAAACTAGCCAAGGCCAATAGTCCTACTGGCATACAAGTAGGCAGATATGCAAATAAGTAGTATATGGATACTGGCGGGTGGGATGGATTCATAGATTGTGTGCACCGGATACCTAAGAAAAATTGTCTTGTACGTTTGTCTGTTGAATTACGCAAAGAAGACCTCGGCTCACCGTCAGTCATGTGACAGACATCGTCAGAGCCAGAAACTATTATTCACGAACAACCACCAAAAATAGGAAAACATGAAAGGTGGCCGACTGAGGCCATTCTCACTTCTTTTATCTCCTTTTGTGATCTCAATGAAGCATTGCATGATTTGGTTGGCTGCTTTATGCTTGTCCTACATGTAGGTATGCCAACCTACAAATCCCTTATACCCACCTTCTCAAACGAAATGAAAGGTATGTCAGTATCAATCTACTAAGAAAGACTTCGAAACCTAGTTTCCCTTCACATCTAAGTGGATAGACAGACAGGCAACGGGTTCGAGTCCCCTCGGTGAATGCTGATGAGACCAGTTCAGGCTGTGTGAAATTGTGGGAAAATTCGTCTGTCAGACCTTCATCAGACTATACGACCTGGAGTGATTGGAATGTTTATTTAATTTTTCGTTTTTAACTGGGTTGTGGGAAAATTCAACTACCAATCATTCAGCACCTGAAGCGAAAAAGGGTGAACGCATTTCATACGTTTGTTTAAGTTACAATTGGCCAATATGACTGCTTGATGCCCATCCTAAAGCTCTTATATCTTCTCAAGGTCTACCAATGCCCGCTAGTCGAGAACCAGACATGATTGGCAGAAGTCTGTCTTCTCTCCTTCAAAGCGACTTCAGCCAACACATCAAACGCAACAGCGCCGTCAGCATTGGCGGACGTACCAGCATTTTACCTTCCATATCCGGTCCAGCCGGTTCGGTGTCCCTAGGACCTGCGACTGGCAATCCAGCCTCCGGTCAGAAATGGTCCTCCGGCCGCGATGACCTCTTACGCAACATGTTGCTAGTACAGACACCCAGTCGACTCTTCGCATACGTCGTCTGGGGCATTGCCACTTGCTTCGTGGTACCGATGGCCATTGTCGCTCTGGTCAGTTGTGCCGGAAGGGTCTATGTGCGTTCATATCCTGACGGCAACTACTCAACTAAGGCAAGTTGAATGTTTAATATAATGGTAAAAGGTTAAATTTATATTAATAATAAAAAAATATTATCTATATATGCATATATATGAAATAAATACAAATCACGGACAAGGTTATGCCCATTTAGGTAAAAGTAGAAGAAAAGTATGAATATTAATAATACTTTAATTCTAAATACTGATAATTATAATAGTAATATACTAAGAATAATACACAACAAATACAGTAGTTTAAAATACATTTCCCTAATTAAGAGTGAGACTTCATCTGTACAAGTTTCATTTTTCTGAATTGCCATGCCCCCTCGTTCATGACAAAGATATGCTAAGTTCTCGAAAAAGACATGTCATCTTTCTCCTCTAAACATGCACATATATTATATATATATATCCATATTTATTTAATATATGAAGACCAAGATGTTGTGGCCTCTGGTGTGGTCGCACTTTGGTCACATGGAAGAAAAAAACTGGAGGATTTTATGTAGTTTGCAAACCAAATTGATGAAAAAAATTCAATTCACGATGGAAATAGAGGAAGGTGAGCGGTTACCGTTCCTGGACGTTGAGGTGATTCGTTCTAATGGGACGCTAAAAAAGAAATTGTACAGAAAAAAGTCCTATGCAGGGATAATACTCAATTTCGGGTCCCATCACAATTACAGACTGAAGATTGGAATAA